GAAAGTTGGGAAGATCATAATGGTGTCATTACCAATAATTCAAACTATCATCTTATTAATTCTTTACAATATTCGTCCTCTCAAAATAATAATGACCAACCAGAAAGGAAACTTGTCCTCCCGCAAGATTATCATGTCTTAAATATTGTAACAGAATACATGGATGGTGGTAATTTTCATGTTTCTTTAAAAAATTTTATCTTAAATTTAATTTGATAACAAATTTACAAAAAAAAAAAACTCTAAAAAAAAAAAATCAAGTTTTTTAATGTTATAATATTAGATCATATTAGATCTTAAATAATGCCATGTTACCTAATTGGACTTTAAACTCCTATCTTTCGTGTATTGATTATTCAATTAATTAATTGCAGTTATTTATGATTTTCCAAATATGTTCCATATGTGCACGCGTGGTCGTCGATCTGTTTCACTATTTTTCCGCGACTAAAATCCACGCGATTTTTATTCATTTGTACAACTATACTTGAAACAGGAGACCTTTATGCCATCATTCAAAACCAAAGGAGAATTGGTATCCTTTTCAAAGAAAATCAAATATTGGACTGGTTCGTCCAATTATGTTTGGCAATAAAATATATTCATGATCATCGAATTTTACACAGAGGTAAATGAAATAATGTCGATTTAAATTTATGATGATCAAAAACTAAAAACATTTTTTTATCTGATACGTACTGTATTTTTTATCAATTTCTCTTTTTTTTTTTTTTTTTCCTTCAAAAAAAAAATAGATATCAAGACCAAAAATATCTTTCTAAGTCGAGATCGATCGATTGTTAAACTTGGTGACTTTGGAATCGCAAAGAAACTGAGACATGGATTGGATTTTGCGAATACGGCAATCGGTATTCTCTTAATTTTTTTATAATTGTTATATCTTTTTCTACCACATTAAATGTCATCGTCATTTTTTTTTTTTCCCTGCTAATCTAGGAACCCCTTTTTATCTCAGCCCTGAAATTTGTGATAACAAATCATATCCTTTTTTTTTTTTTTTTTTATCGTTATCGTTATGTAAATTAAGAAAGCTCATGTGACAAACAACCCGGGACGATTAATTATTCTTAATTTAAATAATATATATAAACATATAATAAGATGTCTGATATTTGGGCGTTGGGATGTGTTCTCGTAATTATCATCAAATACAATAAAATTTTATTATTATTTTAATTAACAGTTAAACGATAACCTAATTTATTTCATTCACTATTTTTAGTATGAAATGACTGCATTGCGTCATGCATTTGAATCTAAAAGTACAACTGGATTATTCCTTAAAATTTCAAAAGGAGCATATCCACCTATTCCAAGGTATGTATGATTTCTATACGTAAATAAGTGCTTATTATATCACACAACAATATCACATATTAGGAGTAACCCCCCCTTTTATACACTTAAAAAAATTTATTTAGCATTTACTCTAAAAATTTGAGAAAACTTACCTCTTCATTATTAAAAATATCTCCAAATGATCGACCTTCTATTGAGGATATTCTTAAATTAAATTTTTTGAATAATCACATAGAACGCGTCACGAAAAAGCTAGATATAACAACCCTCACGTGTCAGAATACTTTTTCTCAAAAGGTGACAATTCGATAATAAAAAAAAAAAAATCAATTAATACTTTATTATAGTATCTGTATCTGTATGTCATTGACCATCTTTTTTTTTTAATTTCTTTCCAAAAAAAGTTAATCATAGATCATCCATCGCAATGTGAAGATGATAATGCATTATCGAATTCGCGATTAATCGATAATTTTTTTAAAGAATTTGCATGTAATCCTATTAGTAGAGTATCTTATGATAAAATTAGTCAAGTAAAAAAACGTCAAAAAAAACCGGCTGCTATAACATTATCAGAAGGTGAAAAATCTCATAAATCACGGATTTCTTCAAATAAGTCTGATAAGAATTTGAAAGAAGAACCCATACGAAAATCATTGGTAAAAAGTGTCAATTTAATAACAAACCATAATGACGATTATATTGAAGAAGGTCATATTGAAAACAATGAAACTGGAAGTAATAATCTTAAAAACGACAATCCCAAAAATGATCTCTCGAAATTGTCTAGCTCCAATAGTGTTGCAAGAAATTACAATAATTTTGATAATATTTCGATACCTTCAAAATCATCAAGCGACGATATTTCCGTCACTCATAATTCTAACTTTACTAGTGAGAAGACAATTAATGACGCAAAAAAACAACCCCAATCTGATAACGTTAAAAAGATCAACAATAGTAGTGTCAAATACAGTAAATGCAATGCGTGCAACCTTAATGTTAAAAAAGTCGATATTGATAACATAAACAATAATAATAATAATAATAATAATATTGAAAACACGATGAAGGCGCCACGAAATTTTATAAAGCCAAAACCAATGGCCCAAATTGATAAAGTCCACGTTTTATCAAAGAAACCTTCAAGTTCAACGTCTCCTACTAAAATTATTTCTTCTTTACATAAATCAGCTTCAGAAACAACATCAAAAAATTCTTCAACAATTATCAAACAAACCACATTCATTCCAAATAACGATAATTCTAATGAACAAGAAAGTACTCTACCACTTCCTACACCACCTTTATCACCATCAAAAAAAGTTGAAGATAATATAATGCCACCCAAAATAACCCTCGCGTCATCATCACTTTTATACTCAATCGCTAACAAAGATACAAAAAATAAGTCATGGGATACTCCATTCTCACTCATCGAAGAATTAAAACAAGATCTTGAATATTTATTAGGATTTGATAAATTTAATCAATGTTATAAATTATTAATATTTTATCAAAACAAAAAAAAAATTACCGATGAAAATCAAGATCAATCAAAACAGGTAATGAAAGAAAAGATTATTGAAACAAAGTTGAAACTTCTTTTGAATGGTAGAGGACAACATAATTATGTACCTGTTTTAAAAGAATTGGGTAAGCAGATTTTAAATTCTTTTCCTAATAAAAAAATAATTTAACATTTTAAAAATCGAAAAAAATTTATTTTTCTAACTAAATTTAGTACTTTTTGAACAAGAAGCATACTTTGAATAATATATAATATATATATATATATTATGAATATTATGAATATTTTTTTTTTTTTTTTGTGGCGTTCAAGATTCAATTTTTCAAAAATTTAGAATACCCCATTGTACGTATTAAATTTTACATATATATTTTCATTATATGTGGCACATTTATAATTTGGCGTACGTATACGTATACACGTATAAATAATTTGTTGTTTTTTATCACTCTCTCAAACTTGTCACAAAAAACTTTTAAAAAATATCGTGTAACAAAAATAAATAAAAAATAACAGATTTAATAACGATAATATAACAATAGATAAAACGGACTAATTATAGTAAAATAAACCAATAAAAAAGGTTTTCTTATATATATATATTAAGGAATGATTATTAATTAATTAAATTTTTGTTATTAAAATTACAGTAATTTAATTATAAATTGAACAATATTATAAACTGATGATACACTTTCTTTAACCCAAATGTTAGTAAATAAACATTTGAGGAAACGATTAACAAATAAAAAAAAATAATTAAAACACAAAAAAATTATCCAACAGCTAATTTGGTTTGTTTTTTTATCATACGTAAAGTACATATGTACGTACGTACTATTTTGACAAATATAAATAAAATATAAATAAAAAAAAAAAACAGATTTTTTTTTTTAAAACAATCATTTTTAAACAAACTAAAATATAATCGTACGTTAATTTCGGTTTAAAATATATATAGTAACTTTTAAGTAATACGTATAAACATATAACTTATATATATATACATAGTAACTACGTATGATTATACAATCAAATAAAAATTATACGTAAGATTTTTTTTTTTATATATATAGTAACTATATATAGTTAAGTCCTAATTCGCCTAAGTCGACAGTACGTATAACTATTATAAAAAAAAAATTAACTTACTGGAGGTGAAAGTTACCGGTAACCAATTAGATCACAGGTAATGATAACAAAAGAAAAAAAAAAAAAGTTTTTTTAAAAATTATTAATATTATAAAATTCTATTATAAAAACTTGCTTCATATTACTAAATAAAAGTTTTTAATACTTAATTTTACATATAAATAAAGTTATACCAATTTGATTTTTTGTTTAATATAATTTTTTACTTTTTTTAAAAAAATCTATATAGTATAAATAATAAATATTATATTGTTACAAGTGGTATAGTTTTCTTAGTATATTACAAGTAACATAAGACACAGAAAAGAGACTCTCAATGATGTCAAAGTTGGATATTACTTTGCAAAGGCAATTTGTTAGAAAGATTATATTAAAGCAAAGAGTATTTTTTATTTATGATAAAATATCAATAATACAAGACTATCTATTAGTATCTGTGTTAAAAGAATTCTAATATTAAGAAGATTGTAGAAGACAAATCTAATTTTAACAGAAGAGAGAAAAGGCAAAGTTTTTATATCTTTTTCTAAATGTTTTCAAATATAGTTAAATGTATTCAAACATAATTAAATATCTTCAAAAATCATCAAATATAGTTAAGTATAGTTAAATATCAATAGAAATTTTTAAATATTAATTACTCAATAATTATTAATCTAATTTCTACAAATTATTACTCATTATGATCATGAAACTATTCTGATTCTAATAACACTATCTAAAAATATTGCTAACTTATAAAATAATTCATAAAATACAAATAAAAAATAACTAATTAATAAATATAAAATAAAGATAAAAGTATTAAAACTTATTTGATAATATTTCTGTTCTGTTCAAAAACAAACTCTATGAGTTCCTTAATACTTCAAAGAGAGCTATAAAGTTGTCATTTGTTAAGTGATATAAACTACTTAAAGTAATATACTTAGTAGAGTATAACTTTTCTTTTCTACTAAGAATGAGGAGTTTAGAGATTTATTCAACTTCTATTAAGATCATATTTGCTTTTCATTAGTTTATTTAATTTTAAAAAGTTTAGTTAATTTTTTTAAATTTGAAAAATTATTACTATAAGTCTTTCTTAATGTTTTTAAATAATAGCAGGCTTTAAAAGTTCTGATTCTGCTTTTCTGATTTTTTGTTCAAATTCTATTTTGAAGTCTTAAAATTATTTTATTTAGTTAATCCTCAAAAAAAGATAAAGAAAGAGAACTAATTCTAATTAGAAATTTAATATAATTTGTAGCAAAATTATTTTGAATTTTTATTTGGATATCTTCTTGAAGAGAGATTGAAGTTGCAAAAGGAAAGCTTTTTTGTCTTGTTTCTAAATTACAACTATTTATAGAAGTAATATTTTCTATAGAAGAAGTTGTTTCTTTTGTTATTTTTTCATTAAGATAAGATAAGTCAAAATTAATTTCAACAAGAAGTTGTTTAAAGAGGTCTGGTTTTGTTAAAAGTAGTATTTCTAAGTTATTATCATTCTGGTTATTTTTATCTGAAAGTAGAGTTTCTAATAATCTTCTATTCATTAGAAAGAATTAAGTTCCTATAATTAATAAAGAAAAAGTTAAAGAGATTAAATTTTTATTCTATTGATTAAGAAAATTATTCAATATATCCAAAGTTTCAGATTGCATTTGTTGAGTAATTGTAGAGTCTATTTTAAGAATTTTGTTCAAAGAGGTAATTTTAAAGAGAGAATTTTAAGGTTTTTCTAAATTTAGAAAAAATAAAAGGAGAAAGTATCTATTTATAAGTTTTGATATAATATAAAAGAAAATTTTTAATATTATACGAATTAAATCTAATTCTAAAATAGGTTTCATGATATTTCAAGAATTTTCTCTAAAAATTCTTTAATTTTCTATTACAATTACAGATTATTAGTTTTGTTTTTTATAATATTTTGCTAATCTGTTATTATTATAATATTTCAATAGTATTTTTCTTTTTTTTTTTTTTATTATTATTATTATTAAGGTAGCTTCTTTTGCTAATTAGATTTTATTAATTTGTTATTATGAAGCTACTATATGAGTAGTCTTCTAGGGTTTTACAATTACATGATAAATGTACAACAAACCACATATACAACTTTAGTCATTGTCTAATTTAAGTAGTCTGCTATACAGATGTTTAACTATTTGTTGATTCTATACATACTACTATACCTGTAATGTTTTTCTTTTTTTAGTTCTAGATTTGTAAAATCCATTATTAAATTTTAATTGAATAATAAAAGGTTCTATTCATTTTTCTTTAAATTTCACAGAGCAAGAGTTTTTAAAGTTTTTTCTTTGGATCTATACTTTGTTACTAATCTCAAATTCTTCAGTATAAATCTTTAAGTTAAAACTAATTTTCTGTTTCTGTTAAGATTTTTCTGTATTCTTTTGAGCTTTATTATATTAATATAGTAATTCATCTATTAATTCGAATGCTCTATGTAGAATACTATCTTCTAAATTTATTTCTTCATCTGTTTCTTTTAGTTTAATTAGTATAATAGTATAATTGTTTTAATCAGAAGTATAGCTTATTAGCTATATACTAGTTGAAAAGAAGTATATCTAGTAGTTGCATATCTTTTGGTTCTATATGCAAATACTATAGCTAGTATGTATATATCCTAATCTTTATCTTTTTTTTACTTTTACAAGAGAACTACAAAGTGTTTTGTTTAATCATTCAACTATTCTATTAGTTTAAGAGTAGTAGAGAGAAAAGAATATATATTTAATTAAAAACTTTTCATATAATATTATTACTATTTTACTGGTAAAATTTTTTTTATTGTCTGAAAGTATCATTTTAGATACTCTATATCTACAAACTATTTATTTTTTTTATTTTATATCTTGAATGATCTTGCTCGTCATTTATTAAGAGAAAGCTAAAAAGAAAGCTAAAAACAATCTAATATACAAGTATACTAATTTGT